GGGGGAGAGAGGGGGAGAGACGGGGAGAGAGACGGGGAGAGAGGGGGAGCACAGCTGAGGTGGGGGCAGGGTGGCTGGAAAGCGGAAGCAGATGCCTTCACGTGACCCCTTCATCTTGGCCACAGACTTGACAGGAAAAATCCTGCCCGCCCTGCGCCCCCGTTTTGTGGAGGTGGAACAATAAGGCGGAGAGACGGGGCACCTTGTCTGAGAGCGCACAGCGGCCAAGCAGGGGCCGGGGTCCCCATGCAGCCCACTCTGCCTCGCGGCTGCCGCCCCCGGGCCCCCGGGCCGCTGCTTGCCGAATGTGCTTTGTAACCGACTCGCTGCGTGTCCCTTTCCGTGTACCCGTTGTAATGTCAGACGGTCTGCGACGGAGCCGGCGGTCACAGAGCTGGGCGAGTCACGTGCGTTCCCACGATGCGCGTGAAGTGGGTTATCACTGCCAACAGGAGGGGCTGGGCAAGACGGGCTTTCACGCCAGGGGCGCAGTAGGCCCCTCTGCTCTCCCGTCACAAGGCGACTGGCTGCTGCCATCGATTTATTCATTTTTTACTTACTATTTATTATTTATGTATTTTTAAAAAGAGATTTCTGCTATAGGGCACGTGCACTCACCAGGGAGACAGAGACAGAAAGCGAGAGATCACCCCCCAGGGGATGGCCACGCCGCACTCTCTTCATTCTCCTCTCGGGATCTTCGGTGCATACATGCATGTGGTGTGAGTTTCGAGGCACTGGGTCCAGGACTTGAACCTCGGTCGGCCATCTGGGAGTCTAGCAACACCACCATTACTCCGTCTGCTGGTCCCGATGGCTGCCGTTATTACACTGAGGCATCTCCCAGCACAGTGGATGCCCCGCTCCCCAGCCTGGCCCAGGCCCTGCTGACCTGGCTTCCCGGTCTCCAGTGGATGCCCAGCTGGGGGGCCAGGATTGAACCCACACTCTGCAGCTGCAGAGCCCAAGTTCTGTGCCGCACGCCTTCCTGTGATGTCAGGGCTCAGTGTGGCCATAGAGGACCAGAAAGAGGCTTGAGAGTGAAGTAGGAAAGGGACTAGCTGGGTCTCCCAGGAGCCCCAAGCTCGCAGGCCTCTGTTCTCATCGTCGGATCCAGCCCAGCGGCCAGCTCTCGTGTCCAGCAGGGTGACTCCCCAGGGCTAACCTCTCCCCAGGCAGACTCTCAAACTGCAGGAGTGACCAGGGACTCTGGGCGCTCAGGGAGGGCCCTCTGCTCGCGCTGGGGCTTGGCTTTGCAGGCGAGCCTGACTCAGGGTGACGCAGGGCTTCCTCCGGGAGCCACGCCCCTGCTCGGTGTCCCGCCTCCACCGCCATGTGGAAAACTGCCCCCCAACCCCGGGAAGGGGAGCTCGACCCAGGGGCACCCTCTCAGGAATCAACCGTCCCCGAAGGTGAGGGAAGAAGACCCTGATTTCCTGTGATTGTCAGGGAGCCTGGAGGCTCGCAAGGGATTTTCGACTGAGAGCCTTGTGGGTCGCCCCCAGAATTGATGGCCAGCTGGAAGGGGAGCCCAGCACAGCGACAAGGGATGTGCTCAGTAGTTACTCCCCGTCCATCCCGGTTCGGAGCCCTGAGCTCAGGAAGCGCCTGCTCCTCTCGGAGGCTGGTGGGGTGGAGGCAGGGACACAGCCCTGGAGGCTGCCTAGAAGCCTCAGGTCAAGCCTCCGGCTGGCTGGGGACCTGGGACACTGCCCCGCTCTGCGTCAGCTTACTCCTCTGTAGAATGGGCATAGTCACTTTACTCCCCTCCAGGGCTCCTGGGGGGTGCTCAGAACACTCAGGAGATCCTTACTAGACAACTGTTTGGCAGCCAGGTGGATCTGGGTTCGAATCCTACCACCAGCACTAACCACAGTGAGACTCTGGGTGAGGGCCCCAACCTCACCGGACCTGTTACTTTATCTGGACTCTGCTCCCAGGGTGCTGGTGGCACGGGGTAGGCAGGACACACGAAATGCTGGAACCCAGCCCTGGCATGGGGTAGGGGCAGGGGCCTGGCAGCGCAGGGTCCTCGAGGCAGGCCGCGGCCCTTCCCCGCTCCCTCCCACTGCCCCGCCCCCCTGTGGCAGCCCGCCCCGAGGCTGGGGCAGGAAGGAAGTGAGGAGGGCAGCGTGGCTTCCCCTTTTCTGCCTGTCCAGGAGCTGGCTCTCCCCTCAGAGCCTCAGAGGAGGGGACGCGGCAGCAGCACCATGGCCCCCCGCACGGCCGCCGTCAGCCAGACCTGCTGCTGCCTCAGTGTGCGCATCGCCACCATCGCCCTGGCCGTCTACCACGTGGTGAGTGCGCAGGAGCCCTGGGCTGTGTGCGTGTGCGTGTGCGTGTGCACGTGCGTGGAGCCCTGCAGTGGGGAGACTGCTGCCTCCTGCCTCCGTGGCCCCGGCCCACCCCTCCCCTCTGTCAGTGAGTGGTGGTGGGTAGGAGCCCACTCCTGGCCTGGGGCTCGGGCTCTGCCTCCGTGAAATGGGCAGGGTGGTGGTGTGCACACGCCCCGGGGCCCTCTCCAGAGAGGTGCTCGTGGGCCGGGGCTGCTTCCAGGGTGTGGGTCGTGCATCTCCCTTGGCCTGCCCGGGGCGTGAGTGCTGAGGGGAGGAGACGGTGGGGAGGCAGAGCGGGGGTCCCCTGGCTTCCAGCTCAGCTGCACCCCTGCCCTTGCCACAACACGGGAACCCGGGATCTTGTGCTAATGGGGAGAGGGTGCCCAGCCCCAGGTCCTGTGGGGAAACTGAGGCAGCGGCCTCTGTGATTCTCTTAGGAGGCGCCTGGAATGCAGGCAGGAGGGAGTCTGTCTCCTGCGAACTCAGCGGCTGACTCCCCACTGCCAAGGGACTGAAGGCTGGGGTCCCTGCTCTGTCCTGGTGGCCCGCCTCCACCCCCAACACCCAGCCACACCCAGCTCCCCCAGACCCAGGCTTCCTCTGGGGCTGACTCAGGGCTGGGTGAGCAGTTCTCTCTGAGCTGGGAAGAGCTTCCTCAAAATGAGCACAGACCCGCGGCGGGGGCTCTGCCTCTGCTTCCTGCCGCAGGCTGGGTGCAGGCTATGGTGAGAGCGTGCCATTGGAGCCCGCTCGGTGGTTAGCACACGGCCTCTGCACACAGGCCCCCGCCTGCAACCCCTGGCTTCCCGTGGCCTCGCTGTGCAGCCTTAGGCGACTTACATAACCTCTCGCGAGGAGCCTCAGTTTCTTTATCTGAAAAAGATGGGGGTGAGAAGAACAGTGCCTATCTGGTAGGGGTGCTGTGAGGACGTGGAGTTAACAGCTCTGAAGCCCTGCGTGCCTCACAGTGGTTTGCCCCAGCAAGGGTCCCACACGGCCCTGGAGCCAGGCTGTCGGAGGCTGGGACGCTGGCCTCGGGAGGAGCTCAGCGGACGTCATGCCCGGGTCCTGCCAGTGCAGGAGCCAGCGGCCGCCCGGGCTGTTCCGGCACCGGGGCTTCCGG